GTATCAGTATCTATATTAAATGTAATGTATCAGTATCTATATTAAATGTAATGTATCAGTATCTATATTAAATGTATCAGTATCTTAATTAAATGTAATGTATCAGTATCTTAATTAAATGTAATGTATCCGTATCTATGTTAAATGTAATGTATCAGTATCTATATTAAATGTAATGTATCAGTAGGACGTGTAAAAGAAAAAGAAAACTAAATCTTTATGAAAACTTCTCTTCTCAGTTGGCCTGCAGATCAGCCAGTGGCCTCGGTTTTATGGCGTGAGAGTCGGTCAGTCTGTGATGATTTACTGCAAGTCGTCACCAAACAGAAACACAAGCTGGCACAAAGCCGAAGAGTACGACATGAACAAGATGGAGGTTTGGAAGGATCAAAGGATTCTCTTTGGAAAAAGCGATCAATATGCTTTCATCAAGATCAACAAACTCCAAACTGAAGACAGCGGAGTGTACTTCTGTCAAACAAATAATGTTTATGGGCCTGGAACTGCACTACAAGTAGTGAGTAAGTGTACAAATACACAGTAAAGTAGTATGTTTACAAATGCACAGAGAAGTAGTGAGTAATTAAGTGTGGGTATGTATACAAATGCACAGTAAAATAGTGTGTATGTTTACAAATACACAATGAAGTTGTTAGTAAGTGTGAGTAAATGTACAAATGTATAGTAAATTAGTAAGTAAGTGTCCAAAAACAGAATGAAGTAGTCAAATACATGGTAAAGTAGTGAGTAAGAATCCAAATATTTAATGAAGTAGTTGGTGTGTGTACAAATACACAGAAAGAGCACATGTGAGTAAGTGTGCAAATACAAAGTGAAGTAGTGAGTAAGGAAGTGAGTATGTTTACACAGGAAAGTATTTAGTACGTGTAAAAATACACACTAAAGTAGTAAGTGTACAAATACACAGTGAAGCATGTTTATAAATACATAGTAAAGTAGTGAGTAAGTGTACAAATACACAGTGATGTAATGAGTATCATTGCTGGATTTCTCTTGTTTATAATTTTCCAAACATAATTAGATTTTTATCTTCAATGTTTTAGCCTGATCTTAAACCAAAACATTTGGCTCTTTCATTTMTTTGCCTTTTTATGCAGCTTTGAGAAATTTGCTGAATTTTATTTTTATTTTATTTTATTTTTTTAAATCTAGCTTAAAACTAGATTTTTGCTTGCCCTGTGATGGAGTTGCGACCTGTCCAGGGTGTACCCTGCCCCTCGCACCGGGCACCAGCGGTGACCCTGAAAGGAAAAATCAGAATCAGAATCAGAATCAGAATCAGAATCTGAATCTGAATCAGAATCAGAATTAGAATCAGAATACTTTATTAATCCCTGGGGGAAATTATAGGTATTACAGCTGCAACCGTTCAGATCGAGAAATGTGAAAGGAAAGCACACTAGAAGAAAATAACTATAAACACCCAGAATCAGGTTCAAATAATGGATGGATGGACAGATTTTTGCTACTTTGGGCAAACAACTTGATACTTTTGTTTTTTAGCTAACTTCTTGCTTGGGTCCTTTTGCTGTTTTTACCTTTTTGTTAGCTTTTACTACTTTTAGCTTCTTGTTAGCATTGTCTAATTTAGCCTTTTGCTACTTTTAACTTCTAGCAAGCCTTTTGCTTTTTTGTTTATTTTTGCTACTTTTAGTAGCAAAATACTACTTTTAGTTTTAAAAGACTAGTTAGTCTTTTAAAACTTAAAGTTTTTGCAAATTTTTTGCTTTTACCATTTTGTATTTTTTAGCCAGTGTTTTGCTACTTATAGCATCTTTCTTGCCTTTTGTTATTTAAATTTATAGACTTTTGCTACTTATGTGTAGCCTTTCAATGCATACAGTTTTTAGCTAAGCTTTTGCTGCTTATTGGGGTGTTTTTCATTTTTTAGTTTCCCTTTGTTACGTCTCAATGCTAACATTTTTAATCATTGCTTTCAGTGAGCTCACCTTTCGCTACTTTTAGCTACATCTAGCTTATAGCTATTTTTTTTCCACTGAAAGCATTTGTTTTGTAACTTTTAGCAATTTAGCATTTTAGCTTAGATGTTTTGCCAAATAAAAACACTRAATAAAACTAGAGAGTTTGCATTTCTTTTAAAATGCAGTGTGAATGTTTRATGCTGAAAGATTTTAGCTGAATGCTGCTAAAGCAGCTGAAAAGGTTTAATAGTGAAATGGTTCACGAGTTCAATTTGAACAAGTGACTTTGCTGAAAGTTTGAAAACAAGTGAAAATCTGTAGAAAAGCAAAAATGTGTCAAAACAGCTGTAGTCTACTGAGCAGATGGATGGATGGTCAGATGGATGGATGGTCAGATGGATGGATGGATGGATGGATGGATGGATGGATGGATGGATGGATGGATGGATGGATGGATGGATGGATGGATGGATGGATGGATGGTGCTTTTTCCTATAAAAAGCCTCTTCTTTAACAGCGTTCTCTCTGCATGTTTGCAGTTTTTCTGATTATTTAAATCCTGCTTCTTGAAGCTCACAGGACACTTTGCTCCTCACAGGGAACTTCGACCCGGCTCAGGCCCAGTACCGCTCTCAGGTGAAGGACGGCCTCATGGTCCTGCAGGGCCTGATGCTGGCTATTTGTGTGGCTGCCATCCTGCTGCGCCAACAAAAAGTGGTGAGCAAATAATGCCGACTAACACAAATGTGAGATTAAACCACAGCTTTGAGTTTTGTTAGGCAGCAAATCATCCTGAAACTAAAAGGTTCCAGTGGCTGAAAAAAATATTCACTGCTCTGGACTTCCCGTCATGTAACCAGGACTTTAATTTAAAATAAAAACAGGRCAAAAGAGTCACCTTCACGCACCATCCATCCATCCATTTTCTGTACACGCTTCTTCCTTTTTCAGGGTCGCGTGGGTCACTGGTGCCCATTTCCAGCAGTCACAGTGCGAGGGGCGGGGTACACCCTGGACAGGTCGCAAGTCCATCACAGGGTCAGGGAAGTCACTTGGAGCCATTTCAAAGCAGCTACAGGTCCCAAGAGCAACTGTGCAGACAATTATACGC